ATTTGTCTTCTGAGCATCTTCATTTATTCAGTCAGATTACATTGATGTTTCCGATGATAAGTAATTTGGTCATTATTTGCTTCATAACAAGGCATCAGTTCATTCAACAAGGTTGAGCTGTCTGTAGCTTTTAACAAGCATGTTCGTTGTATCTGACCAAATAAGTCGTCAGTTCATAGAAATTCTTAATTGTTAGTTTGTTCAAGTTTCTTAACAAGGATTTGTGAATATCTTGACCGTAAGTCAATCTTAGAGAATACAATGGATTCCCTAAGCTGATCAAATAAGTCATGATACGAGGTAAAGGATAACAAATTGTTCAACTGATAGTAGTTGATATAGAGTCTCGTTGATTTGCGTATGAACAAAACATGTATTCTCTCAAGGAGGAAACACTTGATCAGATGATCCTTTGTCGGGAAGTCATTGACGGAAACACGTTCAATACAGAGTTACAAATATTGGTCCTTTTATAGGATCAAGATTGACAGAGAAATCAATTTCTCAGAACGGTGAGATAATTGGAAATTCATATCAAAGAGGTGTCATACGTTTGATACGTTTCTTCAGTTCAGATCTTTCTTTCGCGTATCACACGAAAAGACTTTACACTCCTTTTGGTTGAGAGGTTTGCGTACATCAATTCGAGATGAACTCGGTCGGTTTAGAAATTAGCTTTGCTTTCACCTATATAAGGTTTCCATCATCGATCTTCAGTTGAAGAATTCTTCGTCAAGAGTTGTCAATACCAACATCATTCGATCAGCCAATATATACTAAGGAAAATTGTCAAATTCCTTGTATGGTATTTCAACGAAGTTTTGCAAGGAGTTGTCGCTTAATGAACGATTTCGATTTATGTGATATAATCACATATTTGTGTCGTAATGCATTAGAAATCAGAATGGGATACTGCAGATAACAGAGAATATTAAATGTTCGTGTTTGAATCAGCGATTAGATCGTCTTGAGTCTACATGAGGATCTCTGACATCAGCTTCACAGGTGTTTCTCGACATCTATTATTTCTTCAGAGTCATCTCACTTTCATACAACTTCGCGATGCAGATCAGTTTCGTTCTTTGCGATGCGATGCAAACGTTAATAACGGCTCAGGGGGTCATATATTTTTCATTCATTATTTCGTCTCTTCACTGAGTAAGAAAGTTCTACTAGAGTCTATGCTCGATATGATTTGAGTACTAATCAATTCTTATCTAATGAGAATTTTAACAAGTCAATTTGTATCTAGTAAATTCTCATACCTTTCCTGGAGCAGAGGGATGCGAGAGTCGTGGATGTGATTGACAATGTTTTTTTTAAAAATCATTTTTCGATCCGAAGATCGGGTTTAAAACCATTTGCTCTGTACCAAATTGTAACACCCTAATCCGTCCAGGTCTGCAGCTCCTTTCGGACTAAAGTATTAACTTGGTAATCGTAAAATTTAAAACTTTTTAAACACTTTTATTTATTATAATAATAATTTTCATATCATAAACAGTACAGAGTTTTCAATATTGCGGAAGCTTAACAAATTATAACCACAAACATAATTTATTTATATTCTTTAATTCAAAACCATCACATCCATTCTGACTATCTCGCCTCCGTCTGCCTCCAGGATCACGTCACATCATTCTATTGACCTGCGTGTAGCAAATAAAACACACTACACGTTCAGCGGTAAAGCTGAGTAAGCATATCTAATGCGTCGAACATCCACATAAATTGAATCTCAATTCATAATCAACCATTTGATATCATGCACATAATGTTCAGTTTAGATATTCAATAATCAATATTCATTATGTATATTCATCATTCATATTCAACATTTTTATTCAACATACATCATACAATATTCATCATTTGTCATTCAACAATATCCTTAAACTATTCTTAGTCTAAGGCCAATCTATTTGATGTTTACCAACTCTTAAACGAATTCTAGTCTAACATAGTTAAACTATATTCAAGTTTAAGGTACTCTTATCTAACCCTTAAGCTAGGCCTAGTTTAAGATATAAATTTTCAAAAAGAGGTTTTCAAAATCTTAAACTTACCTTCGATTAAGGTCATCCAAAAACCGAACAGCGGATCCGAAATGCTCACTGTCGGGTTGGNCTAGATAGTCTTAGAAACAAAAGTCAACCTAGGTATATCTTAGAGTGTTCTAGATATCCTTACAATCCAAATCATTTCATAATCATCAACATATTCATTTCAATTCATAATTTAATACTTGATAATCATTTTAATCAGTGGTTTCCACAAGCCATAATCATCATAATAATCATTCATCATAATCATCAACATAACATTCGATAGCAAATAGCGGCCTAGCTTCGAGTGTTAACACCCGAACTTACCGTCATGCATCACATAACATTTTATTTGTCAAAAACATCATTTTTATTGTGGTGAATCGTTTTTATAATAATCATATTCAATTGGTATTAAAAATAGGATTTTGTGGTTCATAATTTGGATTTTCTGGAAAACTAATCGGATCAGACGGTACCCTTCACGGTACCTCGGTACCGGTTAACGGCACCTTGGTACCGTGCCGACAGTAGGGTGTACCGCCGGTGGACAGGTACCGCCAGTGGAATTCGGTGGAGACGATAGCAACCCTACCGTCCCGGCGGCAGGTGGGTACCATTTGGACGGTATCTAGCTACCGTTCCGGCGGTAGTTCGTTACCGTGTACTGTTCATCATCTTCTACCTCGGGTTTAATTTTGGGAATTCCATTTTTAGTTACCAAACTTCAATTAAACTATATAGAATGTTCTCCAATGTTCATAGATCATTTTGGTGTCATTAATTCATAGTTTTATCATTAAATTCAAGGTTTATGATTCTCGGTTCTTCGAACATGTCAAACACAAAACTCAACCAAACGGTCGTTTATGAACGTAGAAACGATCTATACGAACATTCTAGTCATTAGATATATCAACGGGCTTACCTCGAAGCTTATTGAAGGTTTTGGAAATTTTCCGGCGAAACTTCCGGCGAGGTTTGTGGCTAGCTTTGGCGACTTCACAACAAAATGGCAGCACCAGTGCACTCCTCTCTCAACAAGGAACAGAATAGAAAGAAATATGGAGTGTTTTTAATGAAGAATTGAGGAAGATGGAATTCCTTATATAGAGAAGGTGAGAGGGAAGAAGACGCAGGATGATGATGGATCCGCTAGTGCGCTGGGAGGCACCGATCGAATAGGTCTCTGATTGGGACCAATTTTGGTTCTAGTCGGAGTACACTTTTTGGTCCAACTTTCTCCGAATTGAAATCTGATTGTGGGTGATAGGTTTGGTGGGGTTGACTTGGTAAGTATTATCATTTGGGTACTGATGTGGGTGATAGGTTTGGTGGGGTTGAAACGGAGGGCGGTTGGGTGGTTGGTAGAAAGAATGCGGACCGTAATAACCACTGGAGTTGTCCATAATAATTATTACGGGTGGTTGGTGAAAGGAAGTGAGAAGATCGTTCTAACCAATCTTCACCCAAGCTAATTAAAAGAAATTAAACTAATGCCGTGCCACTCCCCGGCAACGGCGCCATTTGACAATCGTAGTTTTTCGGGTAGTAAACCTTCCCAGTAAAGGGTTAGTTTTCTCTCCGAGTGTCGTATCTCTCGAGGAGTGGACGAAGGGAATTAATTTAATTACTCTAATTAGGCGAAGATTAGGATTGGTTTATGAAAGTCTTCTCGGGACGATTGTAAAAAAGGACAGAGTAAACATAATAAATAAATTTTACATAGTATAAGTGCAGATCTGGACCTAGGGTCAGGACATCATTTGGATTTATTTTATCATATTAAATCAACGATTGGAATAATAATATTTCTATTACTACTCATCCATTTCTAGATTTGTACTTAATCCGTTGTACTTAAATATCATAGCCTTTTGGCATACAATATTTTCTCAATAAATAGCTAATTAAATCTTTCGATATTAATTAACCAGTTAAGGCAAGAACAATAGATTAACCATTCCAACATTAATTTAACATAAAAAAATAAACAACCAAACTAGTCCGGACCTAGAGATCCGGACCCTAACTCATACTATGCAAACATAAATTAAAATAGCATTTTATTAAATAAAGAAAACTTACAACCTCCGTAAAAGCGGAACAGGACAGATCTGGAGTCAAAACCTCCGAAAATACTTCAAACTAACTACTAAAACTAATATACAAGCTAAAATGGAGACGAGATGTGTAAATCCCGAAGTTGGGATAGAATGGGATGATAAAAATGAGAAGAATCGTGCTGTATTTATAGGAATGGATCCAAGGCGTCCAAGTCAAAGCGTCCAAGTCCAAGCGTCCAGATCTGGACGCTTGAGCTGCTCCGGCCAACCAGATTTTGCCACGTGTCTTTCTTGGATTGCAATCTACCCAGGCGTCCAACTTCAAGCGTCCAAACTTCGCCAAGCGTCCAAGTTGGACGCCTGGAGGCCTTGGTCCGTTGGGCTTCGCGGCTGGTTCGTGATTTTGGCCCAATTTCAAGCAACTCTACAACTTGTCGCTGCAATTCGTCTACCTCTTTGGGACTGAGACGATATGATGGTCTATTTGGGAGGTTAGAGCCTGGGACTAAATCAATTTGATGTTGGATGTCCCTCAATGGTGGTAAACCAGGAGGTAGCTCATAGGCATCAAGTGTGAGAACTCATCTAGAAGTTGCTGCACCTCCCACAGGTAAGTCACTATCTTCATCACTTGCTTGGTCATCACAAGGCAGCAATGCATAAACCACCTTTTCATGCTCAACCTCCTCTAGGAACTTGGACCTAGATAGCAGATTAGTAGGGCCTTCTGTTGACGGTGGATGAGGATCCTCTCGACGTGGTGCTAATATTATCCTCTTGCCTTTCATGACAAAAGAATAGGTATTCTTTCGTCCATCATGTATAACGCTACGATCATACTGCCAAGGTCTTCCCAAAAGAATGTGACATGCATCCATCTTCACGACATCACACCAGTGACTATCATGATACTTATTCCCAATTGAAAAGGGAACAAGGCATCTCCTGTCAACTGTCACCTCAGAACCCTTATGTAGCCAAGACAACTTATAGGGTTTGGGGTGGCGTTCTGTCTTCAACTGCAATTTCTGGACAGCTTCGTCAGAGACAATACTGTCGCAACTACCACCATCCACGATCATCTTGCAAACTTTTCCTCCAATGGTGCTGGTTGTGTGGAAGATGTTTGTCCTCAACCAATCATCTTTAGAATCATCCTTTGGGGCCAGAAGACTCTTGCGTACAACCAAATTCTCTCGACCATCCCCATAAAGAACATCATCTTCTGCATAATCATCATAAACTGGACCTCCAAACTCTTCAACTTCATCGTCGTCAACAACGATGTTCTCCTCCACAACGATAGCACTTAATCGTACTACTCGAAGCACTTAATCGTACTACTTGAAGCTCCCTGCGTCCCTTGGACTCCCTGTGTGGTCAGTCGAGGCTCTTGGGGTCGAGCCGGACGGTTATTGGTCACCGGCTTCCTGTTCTGCTGCTTCTCAACTGCAAGGGCCCTTTTGTATGCCTCAGAAACAACCCATAATGAATGGAGGTTGAGAACATCCTGCAACGACTGACGCAAGCCTGCCATATATCGGGTCGACAAGCTGCTCCTCCGATTCAGACAGATCGTTGCGAGCAATCAACTGGTAGAATTCTTTGGTGTAATCATCAACAGACCTTGTTCCCTGCCTCAACGTATGGAGTCGTTGAAATAGGGTTTGTGTGTATCCAAAGGGAAGAAAGTGTGCCCTCATCTTACCCTTCATCTTCTCCCAATCATTGATCTTTGCCTTGCCCTTCTTCTCACGAGGCTCTGTTATAACCTCCACGTTGTCAAGGTGCTGCTCTCGTCGGGGGGTTCGTTACCCATTGGTTGCCCACGGCCGCGACCTCGTGCACGCACCATTGATGTCGAAGCATGATCTTCCTTTATTCGTCGAACTGATCTCTGATACCAACTGACGCCGAATTAAATCAAGGCGTAGGGCTAGAACGAAAAGAACAACGAAAGAAAGGGAAAGATTGAAACGCTAGGGGAAGAATTCCGTTCTAGGTATAGGGAAAATTCTCAAATAATGATAGTCTGACTGGAATATGCCCACAAGCCGGGCTATAAATAGCTGAAAAACGAAGGGAGTGAAACCCTAAAAGATGGAAGACAAAACGGGCCTAAGAATAAAAATAAATGGGCTAACTAAAAGATAGGCCGAAGGCCCAAAGAAACAAAAATTTAAAAATGAAGGCCTTAACAAAGAGTTCACGTTAGTCTTGATCCTCTCCTGCATCAGGAATGGTATATTCACCCATTCCAGGAAGCACAAGGGTCACAGAGACCTTAACTTGGTGGGGAAGGAGGGGAACACCGTGCACCATATCTCCCGGTGCACGTGGGAAAACCGATCCATGTACCACTATGTAATCCGCTGGATCAGAGATCCTCAAGTAACAAGGAGCAACCTACAAAACACAATTATTAAACTAATGTCGGAAACAAGTAAACGTAAACTAAACTTGAAACCTTAATTACAAAATATATGTACCTCAGTGACACCGGTGACATCAACAAAATCTGTAGATGCCTTGGTACTACGCTACCCATAATGAGGTGGTACAAACGGTGTGTGCTGCAAAAGACTTTTTTTCCCATTCTTTAGCCACACACTAAAAGTATTCTCCTCACATATCAGACATGCATATTTTCCCTTAATTTTATAACCAGATAGGTTACCATATGCTAGGTAGTTATTGATTGTCCAAAGAATCATAGCACGTAACGTGAAACACTCTTGACGATAAGCATCAAATACTTTGACACCATGAATCCACATTTCCTTCAAGTCGTCAATCATTGGGGCTAAGAATACATCAATGTCATTACCCGATTGTTTAGGCCCAGGTATTAACAACAATAGCATGATATACTTGCACTTCATGCACAACTCTGGAGGAAGATTGTAAATGACAAGCAGTACCAGCCAAGCACTATGTTGCGTACTCAAGCTTCCAAAAGGATTGATTCCGTCAGTACACAACCCCAATCGAAGGTTTCTCCCCTAGTTCCCAAACTCTAGAAATGTGTAGTCAATCATCTTCCACTGTGGGGCATCGGCAAAATGACGCAGGGTGCCATTATCTTTTCGGTGCTCTGTGTGCCACACTAGATTCTTAGCGTCTTTTATTGAAGCAACAAACGCTTGAACCTTCGTATCATTGGAAGGTACCACAAAACATTAACCGGAGTTTTTTTGGTTTTTTTCATATTGTCCTTGTTATGAGTCATTTTGGTTGACTCCTTGTATCTTAGAGCAAAACACTTGGGACATTCGTTGAGATCCTCGAACTCATTTCGATATAAAATGCAATCATTAACACAAGATTGTATCTTCTTGTAGCCCTCACCCATTGGAGACATCATTTTCTTTGCCTCATAAGTGGACGATGGCAGTTCGTGTCGATCTCGAAGAAGTTCACCCAACAAACTTAATAAAGACGTGAAACTTTTGTCCCTCCACCCATTTGCTACTTTTAAATTGAACAACTCCAAAACCCCCTTCAAACGTGTCAACTTTGTACAACCAGGATACAACGGGCGTTTTGAGCTTCCTACTAAGCTTTCATACATATTACGCTCCTCATCAATGACGACTTTATCAGGATGAACATCTTGAGTGGCCCCTAACTCATCTTCCATTTCAACCTCAAGATTGTGGATGTCGTGAATATCATCTTCGACTTGGTAATTATGAGTATAGCTAGAGCTGCAAGGATTTTCTAATTCTCCATGCCATTTCTTTTGCAGGTATGTTGGGTCAAAACCCTTGCGATACACATGTAATCTTATTTCTATAATGCTATCAACCATAAAATGGTTGTGACATGAGTTACAAGGACAATATAGTTTTTTTCCTTTTGAATGTTTCTCTGCGAAACAAATAAACTCTTCCAAACCAGAACTAAACTCAGGTGATGTACACAACATATGAATCCAACTTCTATCCATCATATGAAGTGCTAAGCAAGAAAGAAGGGCAAATGATCGATACATGCAAAACAATGCACAACAAAATTATTAACACTCATTTTATATATACACACAAATCAACGATATTATTTGGATTTATTTTATCATATTAAATCAACGATTGGAATAATAATATTTCTATTACTACTCATCCATTTCTAGATTTGTACTTAATCCGTTGCACTTGAATATCATAATCTTTTGGCATACAATATTTTCTCAATAAATAGCTAATTAAATCTTCCGACATTAATTAACTAAATAAGGCAAGGACAATAGATTAACCATTCCAACATTAATTTAACATCAAAAATAAACAACCAAACTAGCCCGGACCCAGAGATCTAGACCCTAACTCATACTATGCAAACATAAATTAAAACAGCATTTTATTAAATAAAGAAAACTTACTACTTCCGTAAAAGCGGAACAGAACATATCGGGAGTCAAATCCTCCGGAAAATACTTAAAAATAATAACTAAACTAATCTACAATGAAATATTGAGCAAATTAAAGGGGAAACCCGAAATGGGTTGTGAGATGGTGTTTGGAATGGTGGAGATCGCGTGGTATTTATAGGGCAGGAAGTACGGGTGTCCAACTTCCTGGGCGTCCAACTTTTGACGCCCGTACCCAAAATACGTGTTCCGTCCAGTCGCGTTGTGCCGCGTGGCAAAGCCGTGTCACCGGGTAGCTTGGGCGTCCAGCCTCTTCGGGCGTCCAACCTGGGACGCCCATGACCCAAATCCAGCGCCCATTTTGCTTCCAATTGCGGTTTCTCGTGATTTTGGGCCCAAAGTTGTTCCGCATCGGCCCAATTTGCTCCCAGACACTGATTTCTACCTCCAAAGTATTATGATCTTTAAAATCTAAAACTTTTTATCCAATTTGTACATAAAATTGACAAATCCACTTAATTTAATTTAGAACCTTTATTTTATTCTTCTTGAGATAAAACATCAGTTTTGTCACTAGTAGACACTTTCAATGGGTAAATTTATTACTATTTTCGTGCAATAACGCTTAAAATATGTAGAATAAAATAAGAACAAAATGAACTTATCAAATTCCTCACACTTAAACGTTGCTTGCCCTCAAGCAACAAATTGAATAAGTTAAGTATGAAAACAAATTAGTAATCACCGAAGAAAAGTTTAAGTTACACAACTTGAAGGAAAGGAAGGATAAGATGGTCATCAACGTTTTTATGTGAACAAATAAATTTATAGATTCTCACCCATATTGCTAGAAATTTGAAAATATTTTGTCAAACTAATATTTTTACCCAATTAAATCAAACTAAACTCTAAATTTTCATTGGGATAATCATACTTCTAAGGATTATTTTAAAATCAACAAGCGTTTAAAAGCTCTAATAAAAATGGATTTCCAAAAAGATTTTTGTCAAACAATAAGGGCCTATTTAATTTATTAAGCATTATTTATCACGAGAAAAATCTCGGAATCACCAAGGCATATTTTATTATTGAGATTGTGGATTTATTCTATGACAAATGCATACTTGCTCCCTCGCCTTATGCGATTAGCGGGAGAAGCAGAGCCCCTTTACGGAGATAGAATTTCCAATTCGTCACTTAAAGGCAATCCCAAAATATAAACCATTAGAATTTTTTTATATATAGACCCTTATATTTAGACGAAACCTTTATGAGAAATGACATTTTTAAAGAAGCTATTTAAAGTTGATTGATCTTTAAAAAAACTTAGAAAATATTAATGTATCCCAAATGATTTGAGAAATCGTTTGAAAAAAAAATTAGGGAAAAGAATAAAAGTTGGCAAAATATTTAAAAATTTCCATTTTTATGGGTGATAACTAAAAACTTAATTATTTAAACAAAATAGTTGATGACCATACTTATAAAATCTTTGCCCACAAATATGCAAAGCAAACAATTCTAACTTGTTATATTTCAACCAATAATTCACATCCTCCTCACACTTGAACGGAACCGCGCCCCCGCGGCAAAAAAAGTGTTTCAGAGTAGAATTTTTGGCTGAAATATCAAGGATATGATTACTAAGATGATTGCATATGTAACATATTCAAAATGATGATTGAAATAGTAAATAAGTAAAACCATAAAAGTTTACCAGAAGAAGTCAAACAGGAATCCAAACAAACCAGTCAAGTCATCAATTCCGGCTCAAATAAGATAAAAAGTTCTGGAGAAAGTAAGAGATCACTGTGGAGTCCGGGAGGCGGAGGGATCGTCATCTCTGGGCTGCTGCTGACGCGGAGGGAGGTTTGTCGGGTTTTCGAAACCCAATGCCTCACGTATCCTGTCTAAACCATGCACCTGCTGTTGGAGTGCCGCAACGGACTGCATAAGTGTGTTCTGGTTCTGCAAGAGCTGCTGGGCCCATGCCGGTGCTACCTCCGTCTGAGCGCGAGCCAACTGTGCTCTGGTAGGTCGTCGACGAGGAAGGCGCTGAGACGATCTCTCTGACTGACCGGATGACTCTCCAATCTCATGTGAAGTGCGGCCAGTAGAGGCCGTAGTGCTCTCAGAAGAGCTAGGAAAGAGTCTCTGGTGGATGTGAGCATTCCGGAGCATGCCGGCATCTAAATCCCTCATCAACTGCACAGGCCGTGGGATGGGTGCATCCCCCACGAGGGAGCGAAAGAGCAAAGTAATCACAAACCCACACACCAAGTGCGTTCTACACCCGTAGGACTGGGAGTATAAGAATCTGGCCAGGTACACAGCCACGTTCGCCGGCTGGCGGTCGTGCAAGCTCCAGAAGACAAACATATCCTCCTCGTAGACCCTATCCGTGTTCGACAGCCTCCCAAAGAAGGATGTCGAAAGAACAAAAGATAGGATCCTCCAGCTGGGCCGAATCCAGTAGCGTGTGTTAGGGTTGAACCGGGGGTCTTATCAAGTTGTTATTTTTGGAGATAGAACTGTGGAATAATGAAGGGGAAATGGGCTGGATGAAAATATGGGAATGTGAAGGAGTTCTTTTTGGGTTTTGATATTATGAAGAAGAGTGGAAAATCAAGGATGAAGGATGGGTTTAGAAAGGATGGGATAAATTCCAAATAAGGAATAAGAGATTAACACACTCTTATCTTAATTTGGAGCCAAATTAATACTAAAGGATAAGCTCACCTCTAGATTAACTTGGGGTTAAACTCTAGTATTTAATCAAGATATTACACACTCAATCAAATAACTATAACCTAAAACTCACACTTAAGATAACCACTCTTAAGATATAGAATTAGGAATTTGGCTAAAATAGCATCACACTATTTTATGAATACTCAAAGAGTAAAAGGTTTTCAATATTCAAAGATGTGTTTACAATGGCAATAGGGCCTGATTATATAGGCAGGGGGGAAAGGGGAAGAAATACACAATACATTGAATGTAACTACAAAGAAACTACCAAGAAACTTCCTCTTCTACATGTTAAGAATAATAGCCATTTATTCATGTCCTTTTGGTGGGATGAATTCAGAGATGTGGGCTGGTTTTGTGGGGTTATTTTGGCCAGTAGGTAGGGGAACAAAAGGGGGAGATTGATTGGCTAATTTGGACTTATGCTTTAGACCATGAGTGGGGAACAAGGGCTGGTTGATATGGTTGGTGGCAGGTCAG